AACATATCCAGCAGCAAAGAGAACATCAATGAGACAATGATACCACTGACGTGAAGCTTGCTTCAAACCATAAATGGATTTGTTCAATCGTCAGACATGATTAAGCAGCAAAGTAGTACCAGGTGGAGGGGTATAACCTTTAGGAAGACTCATGTATATCTCCTCATCCAAGGCACTGTGAAAAGGATAGCATTGGATACATCCATTTGAGTAAGCTTTAAACCTTTAACAGCTGCAATGCTCAAGAGTAACTTGGCAGAAGCTAATTTTGCCACCAGAGAAAATGTATCTGTATAGTCAACACCCTCTTGTTGAGTGTAACCCTTTGCTACCAAACGATATTTACGTCTTTCTATAGTCGCATCAGCTTTGTATTTAGTGGTAAAAACCCACTTACATCGATCCCACAACCTTCTTTCCAGGAGGAAGAGAAACAACATCCCAAGTTTGATTGTCTTCCATAGCCTGCAATTCAACATTAGTTGCTTCTCAAAATTCTGATGACAACATGGCCTGCTTGAAGGTTGTAGGCTCAGGATCAATGGAATTAGAGAGAATGAAATGTTGATATAAAGGTTTCAGGTTAGAATAAGTATGAACAGAATCGAGCAGATAAAAGGAAGAGGTGAAAGGAAGAGATGTTTTATGAATGAAAGAGCAGTGGTAATTAGAAAGATAACCTGGAGTACGAGGAGTCCGTTGTGGCCTTGTACGTAATAGATGATTATGTCCTGTCATTGAATACTTGTCCCCGAGTAGTGGTCACAAAAGGTAATGCAGAAGATGATGAAGATGCAGATGATGCAGGTAAAGTAATAGGATGAACTTGAAGAATGGTGTCTAAATTAGCAGGAGCAGACAATGGTAATATAGTTTTGGGAAACAAGTCATCAGGAGAAACAGAAGGATCAAGAGATCGAAATGGAAAATTATCTTCTTTGAAAACAACATTACGAGGAACAAAAACTTGTTGCGTTTTGATGTTTAAGACTTTGTATCCTTTGTAACCAGAACAATAACCAAGAAAAACACAAGGATCAGCCCGAGAAGAGAATTTATGACGATCTTTAACTAATGTTGAAACATAGCATAAACAACCAAAAGATCGTAAAAAGAGTAATCAGGTTGTTTACAAACCAGTTTCTCATATAGAGATTGCTTATCAATTAACAAAGATGGTGTGCGATTTATTAGAAACACAGCTGTTGAAATGCAATTAATACAATAGATCAAAGGAACACTAGATTGAAATAATAAAGCTCTAGCAACATTTAAGATATGTTGATGCTTACGCTCAACAACAGAGTTCTGTTGAGGAGTATAAGCACATGAATATTGATGTATCATGCCATGTTTACGAATTATATCACTAAAAGCTAGTTCAAGAGCATTATCAGTACGAATGAATTTAATGAATTATATTGCCTTTGAACATGCTGAATAAAAGAAGGGAAAACAGTTGAAACATCACTTTTATTTCTGAGAAAGTAAATCCATGTTACAACGGTACAATCGTCAACAATTGTTAAGAAATATCTATATCCTTCTGTAGATTCTACTTTAAACGGTCCCCATACATCCATGTGAATCAAATCAAAAGAATGAGAAGTAAGATTATTGCGAGATACAAATAGTAGACGCTTCTGCTTAGCTAAAGGAAAAATAGGGCAGTTGACAACAACAGGCACAAATGATTTTGGAAATGTTTACAACCCGGAATATGAAGTAATTTTTCCACTGAAAGATGCCCAAGACGTTGATACCATAGATGCCCATCATCCAACACAAAAGCACATAAAGGAGACACATATACATGTGTATCTAGTATATAAAGTTTGGTAGAAACAGAACCTCTACCAATCGTTAATCCCTGAATAGATTCCTGAATCAAACAATGATCAACATATAAGTGAGCAGATGCATGATTATCAACAAGTAAAATACGAAAACTGATGAGATTAAAACGAAATGTGGGTATATAACGCACATTATGCAAAGTAATAGTCGATGAAACAATCCCACTGCCTATATGATGAATGGGTTCTTTGTGACCATTCGGGAGAGAAACAGTGACACCAGTGACAGAAGAAAGGTTACTAAACCGTGCAAGATTAGAACACACATACGTCGTAGCCCCACTGTCAATAATCCAAAAACCACTAGGCAAAGAATTATAAAGGGAAGAAAGACATTGATGGTTGAAGGTACGGATATTATTTTCATGACGAAGATTGGAGGATAAAGAAAGGGTTATACCAGAAGATGATTGAGCAGCCATGTCCATGTTCCGTGATAGAAGCAGCCTGATGTTGAACAGAAGGTTCTGAACGACAAACCGAAGATTGAAGCTGTTTAAGAATGTATTGAACTTGGTCCTGACTCATCATTGGTGCACTTGTGACAGTAGCAACCATGGTAGATGATGGATATTGAGACGGTTGATGTTGACTCTGAGAACGAGGGAAACCACCTTGATTTTGTTGACCTCGTGGAGTCAAAGAAGAAGAATATTTTCCTCGTGGAGCTTGACCGTGAAAGTGATGATCCGGTGGATAACCATGAAAGCACTTCTGGACAATATGACCATACTGACCACAGTAGGTACATAAAGGACGCTGCTTAGGGCGATATCCATGTTGAGCAACATGAACCGGAGCATCTGTAGAGGTAGCCATCTAAGGTAAAGAACCAGAGGTTTGAAATACTACAGCATCATTCTTCACATGTGGTTTAATATTCCGTTGTCTTTCATCCTGAGTAATCAGATTGAAGACATCTTCAAGAGATGGAATATGTTTAATCATCAATATCTGGCGACAAGTACCATCATAAACCTCATTAAGACCCATCAAAACTTCATCACTCAACCTCGTTCCTGTAACTTTTTCCAAAGAACAGACACATTATACTTACAACGGCCATAGGTACAAACAGGAAGGTCCACAAAATTCTTGTACTTCTCCCACAGAGTCATTAACTCAGTATAATAAGCAGTGACATCCAAAGAACCTTGTTGAAGAGCTCGTAAACTTCATTCGATCTCAAATATACGAGGAGCGTCATCCTGCTTAAATCGAGTCAAAAAATTCTTCCAAATCGGTTCAACAGTAGTCATATAAAGAAGACTTTGAGCAATCTTTTTAGAAACCGAATTCATAATCCAAGTAGTAACCATATCATTGCAGCGTGACCAAGATCCAACATCACGATGGTTATCAGAGGGTTTAGGAATCGTACCATCGACGAACCCAAGCTTATTGAAAACGTTTAAAGCCATACGAACGGAGCGCTTCCAAAAATGAAACTCTGCACCGGAAGAGAGACGATTCGAGACAAGAACCAATCCAGCATGATCGGAACTATGTAGATAGTACGGATTCGCATAATGATCCAAGAATTCGGAGTAGGAGAACTCATGATTGAAGAAGATGGGAGAAAGAATCAATCGAAATCGACAAGTCAAACACCTAAGATCGAAATCAAGAATCGCGTTAGAACAAAAACAAGTTGAATCACCAGGAAAACGATGAGATCGATAAAGAGAGAGATCAGTCGGAGCTTCAGTAAGCTTCCGCCATGAAAAACAGATTCAGTTTGAAAAATCGACAAATGAATAAGAAGAAGCCATGAGTGGCTCTGATACCATATTGAATATTTTCAATTAAAACTTCTTCTCAAAAGTTAGTTACACGGTTCAATGTATATATATATTACACTGGTTTAGTAAATGGAAGCTAAACTAACAGTTTGATACATAACCGGGATATAATCTAATAGTTTGATTGTTTTTTGTTTGCAGAGGCTAAGACATGTGTGTTTGGGACATGTCAGATTACCCTATACCTAGCGATCTGGATCCTGTAATTTTTTGTGGAGTTATGAAAGAAGCTATTGTCAAACAGGGTTATAAAGGGGAGTTGTCAATCCATTCTTACGTTGATAAGAATACATATACTACTGTGAATTGCTGCCTAAATTTTTGGAGACTGGTGTAGAATTCGACTTCTTACCCAAAGTTTAGTGAATAATTCTTCTTTTGTCACTTATCACATCAGTGTGTCTGTAATCTAATATTGAATACATGCACATGTGATAGCTATGTGAGAAGTTTTTGGATGTTAGTGGACATTACTTTTTGGGCACTATCAAATCATTATTCAAATATTATTGTACTCTCCAAAAACATCGAAGAAGACACGATTTGTCCATTTGAATGCTTGTATCGGTCACATGGTATTCTCTTATCTAAAACTGAACCAGTTTGCTTGTTTCTAATGAAAGTTCAACCTTTTTTCTGACAAGCCTTTTTGAAGACCTTACCAGAGACCAGCTGACAAGCTCTCAAACGTCTTTTTCCAATTAGAAGCGGAGGTGTTCTTATAGATTTAAATCAGACACACTAAAAAAAATGTTTCCGACAAACCTTTTGTATATTTATAGACAAAAAAATTTGATTATGAAAACCAAGATTCTCTTATCCAAAACACTGGGAATCTTATTTCTTTTTTGGAAACAAGATTCTCATTTAACCCATTTTATGAATCAAACTTGCACAACACAGCGAAGGCCACACATTATTAAACAAGAACAAAGAGATAAAACAAAGAAAAGTTTTGGATATGGAGGCGTTACTCTTCAAACTTTGTCGTATTTAAGATAAATGCTGAAATGGAGAATAGTATCGCGACCATCAGCGTAAAGTCTCCAGAAAATCATTCCTTTTAGCATGCTCATGATGATCATGCTCTCCGTGGAACAACATGGTCAATGAAAGGGTTTGGCTAGTTCCATCCAAAGAACTAGCTAGATAAAACCCTTGTGTCGTCTAGTTCATGACCCTCAGTTTATCATCAACCACAGTCAACCTTGGTCCTATGTTTTGACGCCTAAAACACAAATATGTTTTTTACCCATAAACCTTACACTCAAAAAAATTGATGTCTTAAAACTTTTATATGAAATTCTGGTGTCTAAAATAGTTATTTCCTAAGCTTTAGCTCATGGTCATCCCTGACCACAGTGATGGTGCCAAACATGAGTTGCTAGAGGGCAGCTGCAGGAGAGAGTTGACCTGCGGTTAGAAAAGGTTGTTGAAACTGAGAGCGTTGTGGGAGTTAGTGTTAGTGTTTTGTATGATGGTGGTTGCTTGAGAACCACTTAGTCATGTGAGGAGTGTAGCCGTGTTTGGTTTTATTATATTGTTGATGTTGTTTGCAATCACAAGGGGGTATATATAGCGTTATCTACTAGAAATACGTTGTTGGATTTAGAAATTGGTATTCCATTCAACTCAGTTTGTGCTACTATCCATGCGACAACACGCGTTCACAGGTGTGACCTTCCTAGCCAATTATGCATAAAGCATATGTCTGAGAGGAATTGGTATGGGAGTTGTGTTGTTGTTGCGGCTTGTGGATTATCATCTTCTTCTTTTGGTATGGCGGGGACTAGTTGCGGCTGAGTTTCAACCTCATCGAGAAGCCAAAGCGGAGTGAACATGTGAGGCTATCCAGAGGAAGGTCAAGACCGTTAGGCTAGGAGTGTTAGCCATTGTGATCCTGTGTGTTTATTTCATACTAGGGTTTGGCCCGCCCTATGGGCGGGTTAGTTATTGAAAAATACATAATATATTATCAACTTTATTAAATATTTTAAAATGATTAATTTACTCTGAATTGAAAATAATCTCTATTTTAATATGTAAGATTAGCTGTTTTTTAATTACATGAAAAACTTACAACTATAATACAAAATATTACAATTATTCTACAAATAACAACTATATATTTCTACATATTATCTAGGAAAATTCTTTCAAATATACATTTTTTAAGTTTTTATCACAAAAATAGACATCAAATACTAAAATGGCCAAAATTGTATTTTTATTTTGATTATTTTAAGTTTTTTTTTAAATATAAAATAAAATTTGAAATCCTATCCCCAAAACCTCAGTCCTCAACTCTAAACAAAATTTTTTTTAGGATTAGTTAACCCAATGGGTATAAATATATATTACTTATTTTCGTAAAAAAATTAAATCTATTTTAGTCCTTTTTTATTTTTAAGGACTATATTTGTGACAAAATCATTTTTAGATTTATCCTAGAGAATTTATTTATTATATATTTTGGGTAACACTGATATTTTTGAAATGATGCTTGTTATATTTCTGGCATGCTTTTTAGCATATCTTTTGAAATTTTTTGTTGAAAACTTGAAATGCTAATAAATCCCATATAATATAATTTATTTAACTTTCTAAGCAGTTTATCGACTGGAACGATACATTTGATCACCTCTTATCCAACCACTTCGTTAAGCTTTCCTAGCTTAGTTAGCAACATCCTCCTCCAACAGATAGATGTTACATTTTAGCTTTTGATTGTTTTCTATTTTGTTATATTATAATCTTTTTCTTTATGTTTATTAATTATTCTTTTTCGACGCTTAATTTTCATTGCGTATGATATACTTTTTAATTGTTTTTCGAAATATAGATAATAATAGTATATACATTAAGATATTTCCTTATTTTAAAATTATAATATATTGAAAATTTAAAAAAGTATTACAGTTTAAATAATGAATGCTAAAGTGATATTTTCAAAAAATAAATTATTTTAATTATTAAAGGTGTAACATATTTGAATGTTGAAAATGAGTATTATAATAAAGACACTGAATGCGAAAAAGATATTTTCAAACCCAAGTTATATTATATGTTATAGAGTGGGATTAAACATGGTGCTTAAACATACACGTGACTATTAATCTTTTGGTAATGTAGGATGAAGCATGATACAACAAAAAACATAGAGCTCGTATTTTATTTATTACAGAGTCATCACATTTCTAAAATGTTATAAGAATATTCTTTTATCCAAAAACAATAATAATGACGCTGTATAATTGCAAGAGAGTGGAATGAGTAGTGGGTTCGACATAAATGCTAAGATTAGAAGATTTAATATGAAAAGGGGTGACGTTACACAAGTGGTGGCCGGAGAGCTCAAGAGTCGAAGAGTGATGGAGCAAGAGATAAGTTCATTTTTGTTGATAACCGTGTGAAATTCTGTAAAAAATGGATCATAAATGAATTTAGAGTAATTGTCCACGAAATAAAAAAAATATATAATATCTTAATTAAACTTTGATTTACATTAAAAAAACATGTGTCAAAATTTTAGGTACTCAATATAATGCTGAGGTGGCTTCATGAGAAGAGAATAAGTTCTTCTTTATATATATATATATAGATAGATAGATGGCCTAACAATTTGTTTATATATATGAACGTTGGATGATCATGAGATCAATGATAATAGAGTGGAGTTCTTGTTGTCGTGGATTTCTTATCATTGTTTAATTTGTTTTAGTTGAAGAATCTGAATCTCCTCATTACCTTATTAGACACAAAGTATCTCATATCAGTAGTTGGAAGGAATCTTAAACAATGTATAAGATATATAGGGTTTCTAACCTAAAACCAATTAGTAATTGATGTATGTACTATTTTTTCAATAGAGGATGTGATAGATGGAGATCTGTGTGAGCAGTTTCCAACACTTCCAAATTGGCAAAATAGCAGACAAGTTGGATAGAAAACCTGCTGAGATTCTCAAGAAGCTTAAAAACGCTAGGAACAAGATCATTTAGTTTGTTTGTTGTAGTGTGCTTTGTCTAAGTGAGAACTGGTGAATATTTGTTTTCCTACGTCTGTTACAATGTGTGCAGTTTCCAAATTGGTCATGTATAAACCATTATTTTAGTTTACAACCTTGATCATAGCATGCAATTGTCAATATTTGGAGTATTCTAGTTGAGTTTTAATCCTTTCTAGAAAACAATTACTAAAATCTTATGGAAGTAAAAAGTATTCAAAATCAGACAGAACTTAGATCATCATTAGTGGCGATCTTTATTTAAGTCTCTTATAATTAAAATAAATAAATAAATTGAAAAATGGGAGAGAGAATGTCAAATGTTGAAAATCGTATGGTCAGGAAGAGACTCTAAACAAAAGTTGAGAAATGTTCTCTTTAAGTGTGTCTTCTCTTTATTGGTTTAAACTTTTTTATTTGTTAAATATAATGAAATTTTAAAATAAATGTTTGAGGTACTCCTTTACAACTGTGAACCGATGCTGATGCTCTTACAGTTTGACAACGTAAAGCAGAAGAAAAGCATTGCTCTCTCCCAGAACCAGTCCAAGGAATCTAGAGGCCAGAAGCAAAAAAACAATTATTGGGCCAGATAGTATTAAGTATTAACACTGAATAAAAAAATAATGTAGAATGATGGGGTAAGCGCGCCACCTTCTATAGTAAACCGCAGTACCATAACCAACTTAGCTAAAGTAACGTACTTTCACTAGCGGCCGTAAATCTAGTTATTATTTGTCAGCCATAAGCAACTGCCTGGTCCAGTTCCTCTCAGCACCGACTCTGTTCGCTCCACATATAGCAATTTGCAACTACTTCTAGTAGGAACTTCATGTTATTTTCTTATACGGCAATATTAAAGAACATCGGCTACAAACATGTTTACGAAATGGCCACCATAAATTTTTGCCAACCTTGGCTCTCTAATTGGATATCAACCTCTTGAACTCTGCATAAGATCATAATTGTGGTAAATTTTCACTTAAAATTTTCATTAGATTAAGTAAGTTTTTTAGTAATGGTAATTTGGATAGATATTTATTGGGAAATGATGTAGATTATTGTTATGTTTGGATTCACACGTATACTACAGTCGGCTACGAAATCTACCTTCTATATTAATATTTTAAACTGAATTTCTTGCATTTGAGCTTTCACTTTAAAAATCAAACTGGTTAATGTCATTTGGTGTCCTCAATGATTTATATATAATTTATTATATAATTAAAATAAAATTTATATTAATAATATTATATTTATATGTCAGATTAGATAATTGATCATAAATTATTAATAAAATTAGCTAAAATGAAAAGATAATTTAAATAATAAGATAAATCTTATTTATATTATGTATTTATCTAAAATAATATTTTCAAACATAAAATTAAAAAGTTAGAATAGTTAAGTCGTTGTTACTCTTAATGAATACTAGAATTTGATCCGGATGTTTGATTTAATTTATATATATTGTCAACTTATAAACCGTTGGTTTTACAAAAAAATCTCATACATATTTTTTATGTTATGTAATTTACATATAGAATACAATATATTATTTTATAATATAGATATTTGATAATCATTTTTTCGTTTGTACATAATATTATAAAAAAAAATTATAACTTGATGTAATTTTATGTAATTGTCTATTCATACATTAACCTCTTGTTTTTTGTTAATTTATTCTAAAATGAAAAAACATACTAAAATGTAATCACTAATGAATGGTATTTTTTAAAAATACATTTCAAAACTAAGAACATAATCCTATCAGGCTATCACAGATTGAATAGTATAAATTAAACCTAAGCTGAAACGAAATTATAAAGAGGGAAAAAAACTTCTCTCTACCTTATCCCTCCAACTTCTCTCTCTAAACTTTTTTCAGAAAGTTACCGTCGTTTAGCTCCGGACCGGTGGTCCTTTGGCCGGTGCCGGAGGCATCTTCTTCCCCTATCTCTTATCTTCTTTTGCGTCTTCTTCATTCTTGTCTCGCTCTCACGATATGTTCTCTTCTCTGGAGGGCTCGTATGCGGCTTGTCTTCGTTCGCGACGGAGCAGGTTCGCCAGTGGAAGCTTTGCTGGAGCAGCAACGAGGGTCAGAAGGAGCTAGTATGGAAAGGCGCCGGCTTTTAGGGTTCAAGGTCCGTGAATTCAGATCTGGAGTTTGTCTCCTTACGGCTCTCTGAGGAAGCAACACGAGGTGGAGGTGGTGAGCTTGGTCTCAGATCTGGTGAGTAACGGTTGTTTTGGGTCTTCCTCTGTCGGAATTGGCGGAGAGGACTTGCTGGTTACGGGTTTGATCAAGGTGATGGGGATTCGATGGAGCGTCCGTTCCGAGGTGTCTTGTTGCGGAAACCATTGTTATCTCTTTCATAGATTTATTCTGGAGGGTTTTTTTCCTCGGATTTGCGTGCAAAACAGGGTTTATTGCTGTGTGGTGATGCTCTGTCTTTGGTCCAAGCACGTGAAGGCTGAGGAACCTTGAAGGCGCAGTCGTCTATGGCTGGTCAGTCTTCCGGGTGCTCTTCAAAATAATAACTATTCAAAAGTTACCATTGAAATTTATCAAAACAAAGTGATTTTTATTTAAAATAAAAATACATTAACATGTTTTAAAGTACATGATTTAAATAAGTGATTAATAATAGAAAATTTTGTTTTGTTAGAAATATTAATTATCTTTGGGCCTAAAATAGTAATTAAATTTTTTATCCATTAAGTTGAAAAGTTTATTCAATGTTTTTTTGGAGTTTTTCCTTAATAATAAGCACAAAAACCAAACCATATAATTTGTACTAAAAACAAAAGTAAGTTCAAGATTTTATCTCACTAATAACCGTCGGTTTAATTTAAGTAATGCGGTTCAATCAACTTATGGCTTGTATTGTTGTATTTTTTGTAACACTTTAAAAATAGTTCAAATTTAAATGACAACTTGTATTAGTATATAAAAAAAAGTATTATATTTTAATAGAATATATATTTATTTTTTAAAAAAAATTATAAAGAGATCCCGTGTGAGATAAAGGACTCAAGAGTTTCCGCAACCACCATAATGAATCTTCCACTCAACTGATTAAGAGTAGAGACAAAAGCGTTTAACTCCTCCACGTGCATACACACCCAACACTCGTTAATCGTAACAATTGCTACCTACCTCCTCCTCTTCTCTTACATTATTATTAGTTATTACCATCAGACATTCAAACACCTACCCTACCCCAAATTCAAACCATGTCTTTTTCCCACTGTCCGTCACCGTTACCCACCGTCACCAAACTTCAAGTAGATTGCGTTACTTTTCCACCGTCCGTCATCTCACCGGCATCCTCCAACCCCCTCTTCCTCGGTGGCGCAGGTTCGAATACGTTTGCCTTCTTCTTCTTTGATCTTTAATTTTATTATTTGTTTACGTAGCAAACAATCTCTGAATACGTAGGTGTGCGAGGTTTGGATATACACGGAAAGTTCGTGATCTTCACCGTCATCGGAATTTATCTAAATCCTGTCGCCCTCCCATTACTTTCCGTTAAGTGGAAAGGCAAAACGTCAGAGGAGTTAACGGAATCCGTCCCCTTTTTCCGTGATATCGTCACAGGTGCTTCCTTACACCATTTACTTAAGTGACACGTCATGTCAAAGTGTTTTCAAGTCAAAAGGGCCATTCTAATTTGTTTTTACCGTCATTAATTAACTACCTTTTTGTTTAACTCTTGATTAGGTTCGTTTGAGAAATTTATTAAGGTGACGATGAAGCTGCCGTTAACGGGACAGCAATATTCAGAGAAAGTAACAGAGAATTGTGTGGCGATTTGGAAATCGTTAGGTATTTACACAGACTCTGAAGCTAAAGCTGTTGAGAGGTTTTTGGAAGTCTTCAAGGACCAAACGTTCCCTCCTGGTGCTTCCATCCTCTTCGCTCTCTCCCCTAACGGCTCTCTCACGGTATATCCTTGGTGCAATCACAACTTCTTTATAACATTGACTTGCGTTTTCGTTTACATGTTATTTAGTACGAAGTTCTTTTACATATAAAACCATAGCTTTTGTCATTGTAAATGCAAATGTGACCAAGTATTTTTATCTCTCAATTCCAAAACACTATACTCAAGTCTACAGGTCACCAATTTATTGGTGATCTAGTGGTAAAACAAGGAGGATTATTTTTTAAATGGCATATCTAATAAAAGCTGACTTCAGATCTACGGGAAATTATGGGTTTAAGTTCCGAATTTCCACTCTTAATTAAAGAAAAAGTCTAAAACAAAAATGGTTGTGGGTGAGTGAGGTTAATGTTTTCTTATTTTTGACTTATTTTTTTTGAAAAAAAATTGTTTGCATATAAACGCTAATGTAGAGATGACGTTTAAAACATGTAAAGCTAATGTTTGTTTACATATAAACGCGATGTTTAGGAAGTGTGTTTACCTCTTAAGCAGATAATGTTTTGTAGTTGTCTTTTTTGTAAGGTTGTTTACATGTAAACGCTAATGTATAAATGACGTTTGAAACATGTATATGTAAGTAAAAATTGTGTGTTTCAGTTGTTTAGGTGTAAAGGCAATTGACGTTCGACGGTTCGAAACGATTGTAGTACATACGTGATAGCTTTGAAAAACTTTATGAGATCACTTTGTTGTGAATTAAAAATATTTGCAGATTGCGTTTTCGAAAGACGATTGCATTCCTAAAACCGGAAAAGCCGTGATCGAGAATAAGTTGTTAGCAGAGGCAGTTCTTGAATCGATCATAGGAAAGAATGGTGTGTCTCCTGGGGCTAGGTTGAGTCTTGCCGAGAGATTAGCTGACCTGATGAAGGAGAACAAGGTCGAAGAAGATGCAACAAAAACTGACCAAGAGAAAGCTAACGATCTCCCCCTTGGAGATAAGTTGGCCAAAGAGAACTGATCGTGTGGGAAATTGTTCTTGGTCTTTGAGGGCCTCATGTTTCTATATATGATCCCGTTGTTTAGTTCACGTCACATGTTTTAATTTGCTTCTACTCGTAACTCGTAAGACGCATTATATAACCTCATGGAACTGGATCAAATAATTCAAAACTGTATTATCAATGATCTTGATTCTATAGATATGCCGAACAAAACCGATCGGATGCTGAGTCGTTGAAACTAATTCCAGTTAGTTACTAAAGTCATTATATTTTAGTAATACCAGATTAGCTAACCACTAAATGTTTATTATGTAAGATAATAAGAGATCAAAGTATAATATATTGAAGGTTGAGAAGCAAGAGGACATACACAATCGAGCCATCATCTTAGACACAAGAGACCAACTGCAACGGTGATTTAGATGAGTCCTTACCATTAATCCTTAGTTTTATTTCAATATAATATTATTATTTTGGCATAATTAGCTAGGGATCAATCCTTCTAGAGGGATTAGAAGGACTCAATCCTTAACACACGTGTCTCTCTCTATCTCTCCTCCCAAGCTCTCTCTCGATCTCTCCTTGCTCCATTCATCTCCCACCATGGCTCCTCTATAGTATTCAGATGCGGTGAGTCCACGTCCTTCGAGATGCTCTCCGCACACGCATGGAGAATCTGGGCGAGATCACTTAACCTACCCTCGAACCAAACAGAGGAAACATCAAGTACCTAACTTTGTCTTGTTTCCACGTTTTTTGTCTCTGTGTTAAAAGACTTGGACTTGTGCCCTGCTTTTCTTATTTCTGCGTAAAGGTTTCAACTTGTGCTGCTTTTCTTGTTGTGTTATGTTTCCTCTCGTAGATTAGATCGTTGTTAATTACATCGCTCTGCTAACAAGTTATTGAATGTTCCGGGATCGATGCTTCTTGTGGCCTTTTGCTTTGATCAGGTCTGATTACAGGTGTGTGATTAGAGAGATTCTGAATTTGTGGGTCTGTGTTGAGCTCTAGAAGCAATAGCTTTTATCTTTTCGTCTTCTCTGGGTTTGTTTGAGTGATCAGGTTTTGGATTTACTAATGTCTCTCACAATCTGAAGTAGCTGAATCTTTGAGTTTGATACTGTGATCCAAAATATTAGTGTGCTTTATTACATGATTGGTCTTAAATACTAGCTTCTTTGGTCTTTTTGTAGAATTTGTAGAATCAGATCGTTATATAACAGTGAGAAGTAATGGTGGACTGGCTTCTTTGGTCTTAAACACTTGCAAACAATGATCTCCCTATTGATATTCAGAGGTTGAGATGTCGTGTGCTGTAGCGTGGTCTACGCTTCTCTCCTGCTATTGAAAGCCTTGGACAGGTTTGTACATTCTTGTACTGCTGGTCAAGAACGTTTCCGAACCATCACCACTGGTGAGTGAAACCTTCTTTTCGTATACTCTGCTTGCTCTAGTAGTGTCTTTTAGCATACATTGATTTGGAGAGGATTAAGAGTATCTTTTTAGTTTTTGTAATCTACTCAACGTTGTGGTGTATAGTATCAACTTGATACTTTCTTTTTACAGTTGATGTTTTGGGGATTTTCATGTCAGCCTCTTTTGGGGATTTTTATATCTACATCATCAAGAAAATCAATATTCAACAATTTAGCTTTTCTTTATAAATATAAGTTCGTTTTTTGTCATGTTTGAAAACGAATAAATATAAGTGCTAATGAAATCAGGAGTGTATATTAGACGTAGACGATTGCAAATTTCCACTCTTGCTTCTCATATCTAACTCATCATCTATAAATAAGATTTTTTTTTTGTAATTCATTTGAGTTATCTTCATTTTACTAATGATATTTTTATCGTGTAGTATATCAAAAATGTGTTTCAAAAGTTTAAGATTTAGGTTATTTCAGAATACAAGTTTTCTGATATATTTTACTAGTTTTTGTTGTTTTTATTTTATTTTTTGAGAATTCGTTTGCTGTTTAAATCAAAACTAAATTCTGACGTGCGGGTGTTTAAAAAACATATTGTTAAAAAAATTTCATACATGATTAATTGTATATATTTTGATGATTACGATATTTTATATGGTTATACAGTCTATATGCATCAATTTTATTAACTGTTTTAAAGTGTCATTTTTAGTTGTTTATATATATACTAGAGCTATTCACCGTGCTACGCGCGGTTAATATATTTTAAAACGTTAATTTAATATTTTAATTAATATGTGTTCTAATATTTGAGTTTGTATTTTTATAATTTTTAACCGATTAAATAATAATTATATTTATTTCTCATTTATTTTTCACAGTTAATTTTGAGTTTGATTTGTTAATTATTTTACTTTATAACATACTAGTAGTTTATCCGCGCTACGCGCGGAGTGTTTACCGTTTGTGTTAATTAACAAAGAACACTTGTTATTAGATTCACTTGTATAATCGAAAATCTATGTCTCTATAATATTATTTGAGAAGTCAGTTTCATACGTGTCGCGCTCACGTTAACTCCAGCGATGATTGATTACATAGATACCTTTAATAAATTATTAGATTTTAATTTTTTTTTTTTTTACCTTTTTCCAAATATCATATACAATAAAAAGAAAATATTTCTAAAATTTTAAAACAAGTTTTAAAACGAAAATATATATATAATAGGACTTTATTAAAAAGGAAAGTTCACAAAATAATAATACACCCATTAATATATATTTTAAATCACATAAATATATTTTTAAAATAATAAAAATATATATATGTTCATGAACATCTAAAAATTTATCAGTTACACTTTATTTTCTAATATTTTTGAGAAATCAACATATAATTTGATAAATATTATTAAAATACATGTATATTTAAGTGATAAATAAAACTAATTTGATTTGACTTAACTAAAACAAAGATTAAATAAATATTATGAAAATACATGTATATTTAAGCGATAAATAAAACTAATTTGATATGACTTGACTAAAATAAAAAATAATTATACTTGAATTTTAATTTAAAAATATATTTAACTCAATATACTCACAAAGTGAATGACTCGACTGATCTAATTTATATCCAAAATTAAACATCTTATAATTTTATAATAATAATATATTTAATTTTATACATATAAATTAGAGGCTGAATCAAAGCGTATTAAAAAAAAAGAAAATATTAATCAATTTATATGCATAATACTTTAAAATATTATCATTATATTCATTTATGTAATTTTGAATTAAACAATTCAGCTTATTATTTATTTCATTTTAAGCACAATATATATTAAGCTATACATAATTTGACTATAATATATTTACATATCTAAAGACAATAATCAACCGAAATAAAAATAAGAAAATTAATCAAATTTTTATTCTATTTAGAATTAAAATATTATAGCTGAATTTGAAAAATAGATATTATCCAATATACCAAATTGATAAGCAAACCGATTATTGATCAAACAAATAACCGATAATAATATATCCAAAGTCATATGTATAATTAGAATAATGTAATATTTATTAATATAAATTATACATATAAATTGATTCAAAACTAAAACTAAAACTAAATATCTATCAATGATTATAAAATTTTAGTTTTATGAATATTCATACCCGTGCATGAGCACGGGAAAATCACCTAGTTTACATTATTTATAAAAGAACATTTGTTATTTTTATTTTCTAAATATTAAATATAATATATTATGAAATTGTTATAAAAGTTTACAACTCGAAATCAAATAAAAGCCGACACATCATTGAAATTAGTAAATCTAACTATTCAGACACACTGCCAAACATAATGTAAAGATCCCAAATAAAAAATTATGCTTTTATTGTCAAATTGTTTGCTACTATGTTTCTTTTGTTTAGACTATACAAATATATACTATTTTATTTTTATATTAATATTAAACTATGCTTGCTATTTTTATGGGATCAGTACATTATTATCTTTAAAAATCACATTTATGTAGAGTGTAATAAATATATATTTCATTTATATTTATGTTTATTGTTTTAATAATTATATCTTTTCTTTTGTTTTCATAACTTTTTCTTTTTGAAATCTTTGTTTTGACTATATATTAATTTATGGTCATGGTTTTCAATCATTTTCTTTTAGAATTTTAAACTTGATGAAACTAAAATAACAATATCACAAATAGATTTGACTCTTTTTATTTATTTTTTATAAAAGTTTTCTATTTATTATTGGAATTTTTTAAATTATTGAAATATATATATACGTTCACTTAATTATTATTTGTTGATTAATTTTCTATTTTAAAAACTCTGTTGACTAATTTTCATTACGATTTTTGTAAAATTAGTAATCATAATACACGAAAAGAATGGCATAGAAAACATTTTTAACTGCTCCCATAAAATTACTCACCGAAAGTTGTTTTCGTTTATTCCTTTACCAATACATGCTCTAACCTGTACCAAAGGAAATAAATGATCAATCATTTTATTCTTTGAATCATTCAAATCATTCTAGCGTCAAAATCATAAACTGATGTTCATATCATTTTAGATGAAACATTTTACTTTTTTGTTACTCGTAAACAGATGATCTATTAGCTTCCTATTCCGAAAAAAGTACAGTAACTAAAACTCTAAATTTACAGAATATTTTTTTGAGTTAGTGTACAAACTACTTCATATATTCGTGCACAACCTATAAATTTAAGGAAATCACCTAAATCATCTACCATTGATTTAGCATTCTCATTTATTCCGATCCAAATGAGTCATTACACTCCTATTTAACCGTCAAATATTCAATACTTTTTGTTAATCTTCGCCTGAGAGTGGAGCTTCTTGAATGTTTCTGTACAAAAACAAAATAGATCAAGTGAGGAAGAAGTCCTACTATTTGTTGCTTTCTTAGGATCAGAGGGTCTCAATAGAGATACCTTTTAAAAAATTTCTTATGCAAAATTTTTGTAGCCAATGTTCCTTGTATATCAGGTGTCAGATTTGCTTGAAGGAGAAGTAAACATA